CGGTTCTAAGAACTTTAATTTTCATATTGGTTTGATTCTTTACTTGGGCCTTAAATTCTTTGAATATTTCTAGGGCTTTTGATTTGCATGAATAAGGTACACATGATCATATTGCGAGTGATCATCTATAAAAGAGATAAAATATATTTTTCCAATTTTTGTGGTCACATTCATAGGTCCACATATGTCACTATGAATGATTTTCAATATGCTAGTAGTTCTTTTTGCCCTGGTGGTATTTTTTCTTATTAATTTTTATTGCACACTATACTCGCACACTTTCGATAAATCTCTCTCATAATTTTGAAGAATCCCGTTCCTTTTTAATCGTTCCATTCGTTTGATATTAATATGTCGTAACTTCATATGTCATAGGGTAGCATCTAATTCATTAGAAGATGAGACATAAGCAACGTTATCTTTTATTTCAATAGTAAATAGCCCGTCTACAATTCGTCTAGTCATGATCACATCTTTTCCCTTCTTGACCACCACTTTATCCTCAATGAAAGAGGTTATGAATCTAGCAATAGACATATTAAGAACCGAAACCAAGCACTTCCTCGTATCAGGAGCATAAAGTATTTGCTTTAGGATCAATGTGCTCCCACTCTTCAGTTTCCGCTCGAAATCTTCAGCTCCAAGTACGTCAGTCTTTTGATTTCGTCCCATGTAAATATGCTGTTGTCTTGACCTCATGGGACTGAAAGAACGAAAACAATCCTTGGTGTTTGTGACATAGGCCGTAGCACTTGAGTCAAGACACCAAGAGGCTCCCTTGTGGTCAGCCAGCATAAACTTAAAAACCACATATGCCAATTCCTTGTTGGTCCCTTCAGATTTGTTGAATCAATAACTATTGGCTATGTGACCCACTTTCTTACAAATAAAGCAAGTTTGAGTCTCTCTCTTTGCTCCCTTATTTCCAAAATCTTTCATTTTGAAATCTAGTTTCTTTCCAAAAATATTTTTTCCCTTTCCCTTTTTAAATTTAAAGGAAGGTGAATATTTTACTATATGCACGGCTTCCCTTGAAGTTGTTGTCAGTAGTTGCTTTGAATTTTTTCTCTCCTTTTCTGCTTTGATTGTAGTGATGAGCTCTTGCAGTTTTGGTGCTTTCCATCTAGCTGAGATGAAAGATATGAATGTCTCCCATGCACTAGGAAGTGAATTCACAAGATAAATCACTTGCAGAGGTTCATTAGGTTTCATGTATGTGTCTTCTAGCTCTCTGACTAACAAACGAAACACGTGCACATGATCTGCAAACTTGATACCTTCTACCATCTTTAATTCATTATACCTCGTCATAGTTATGTTTTGCTTCATAAGAGAGGGTTCAACATACTCTCTCTCAAGTTTATCATAAATCTCACTTGCAGTATAGATTGACTCATACTCAGAAGCATATGAGTTAGTCATGACAAATAAAAGAATGTGTTTGCATTTCAGATTCCTCCTCTTCCAATTGGCGTACTCATCTTTAATGACTTGAAATTCATCAATTGGACGACGAGGTTGGTCTTCAAAGAGTACCTCATGTAAGTTTTCCTCATAAAACACAAATTTGATTTTTCTTTTCCATGAAACACAGTTGGTCCCATCAAACCTTTCGATTTTCAGGATATCTGAGATGAAGATACGAGTAGCCATATATTTCTATTCTCAAGCAAAAATAAGAAAAGACTCTTAATGGCAATCAAGTAAAACTAGCTCTGATACCAATGAAAGAAAGACCTATATGATATTTTGCCAGGGAATACAATTTTTTATTTTATTTTAATGATAATAATCACCCTTTTTTATTTTGGCAAAAAGATCACTTATAGATGGTCTTATTACAATCAATAAATATTTCAAAATAAAACAGCACAGCAATAAAATAAAACTCAACCACTTGATGCCATTTATTCAACTTAATACTATGCTTGACAATATAAAATAAAAGAGTAAGAAAGTAAAAGAGAAGATGTCGGAGATTACCTCAATCGAGCTTATTAGACCTCACGCTGAGTCACCACATCCAATGGCACGGGATCAGCGGTCTAGCTTCAATCTCGAATTGGGAAAGCTAAGTTCGGCCAAACTAGATAACCACCTTTAAATCTCTATAAAACCCTAACTCCAAAATAATTAGGCTTAAACCCTAATTTTTCCAACCCTTAAATCTTTAGGTTAAGAGAGAGATAAAAACTTGAGAGGAGAGAGAGGGACGTGGCCCTAGGGAGGAGAGAGAGAGTGTGTATGGGAGAGAGAGAGGTTATGGGATAGAGAAGTGTGTGGAGATAAGAAGAGAGCACCCCTATTTATAGTGAATTTTAGGTCTAGGGTTTCTTTAGGATTTCCCATAGTTTGTTTCTTTCTTGAGATTGAATATGGATCGTTGATCAAAGTGACTTGTGGGGTGAGAGATCTGAGCCATCCATTCTATAGATGAGCCATCAACATTAGGGAAGGTGCATGAACCATTATCCCCCTTTCCTTAAACTATTTTCCCATCAATATATTAATATAAATTAAATCCATTAAAGATATCATGCATTCCATAAAATTGCATTCTCCATCTCATATATTCCATAAGAATATATCAAGAAATATCAAGTTAATATTTACTATCTTAAATAGATAAGATATGGTCAATATTTACTATATTACAAATTGACCATATGCCATAAAATACACTTTCCATATTTAAATAACTTGAACACAAAGCTACCAAAGGAATCCAAAGGGTGGGGCGTGCTACCCTTTGTGGCACATGTGGGCCCCCACCTACATGCCACCTGGTGGGCCCATGTGCACTTTAGGCCCCCATGAAATTTTATAAAAAGTTTTAAAATTAAATAAAATTAATTAATATATATTTGGATTTTTACAACTTTGTAAAATCAATAACTGATTTTTATAAGTCCAAAAATCATAAATAAAATATTGAGAGATTCATAAAAAATTCAAATAATAAACTAAAATCATTTCAATATAAAATGAACACAATTAAATTAATATGAATGAAAAAATGATTCATATGGTTTTAGGAATTCAATCTGTAATAATGGGGTACTCTACTTTCAACTTTAGACTACAGACCACACTAGCTTTATCGAATTGACCTAGTGT